ACAATGAGTAACCCCTCCCAAATACCATGCCCTCCCTCCCCGTTTCATGGCAGCCGAAGCAACAGCGAAGCAGAGGCTGACATCTGTCTAGATTCCAGAGGACCGAGAGATATTACAGTTTAGATACTTTGTGTGGGAGAAGGTGGGTAAAGACGGTTCCTTCCTAATAGTTTCCAAAGCATATATTTCATGGTGCTTTATTTTGCTTTAGTTTAGTCTGTCAAACTGCTTTAGTTTGGCAAGATTTGTGTCTCTGGGTGAGGAACAGTGAAGGAAATTGCTTGGAAAAAATCTCAACAGGTCTTCCTTGGGTTTTGGAGCCTGATAGCACAATTAGTACATCTTTGCAAACGGTTCTATCCCCATCTGCTGCTGGTTCATTCTCTGCAGACACTGAAACTCCAGCATTGATATACGTACGTTTAACATTCCTTGATGTTCCTGTTCGGATTTTTGAAATAACACAATGGGAACAGAATGAACAGGCTTTTTCCTGTAACAGGCGGGTGCTAAAGAACTACAAAGTGAGGCAAGAGTTATGCTCCATTTATCTGAAGATGAGCAATACGATTGGCAGTACAGAGAGTAGGTTGCCTTGAAATTTGTGTTTTGGGTAGCTTTTCTTCTTCAGGTGCTCACTATGACCAAATTCTTATGTGGCTATTATTATGTTGTGACTATTCTGAAAACAGCTGTTAAATATATCAAGTGGACATTGCCTAGCAGTACGTTTTACCAGCCCCCGAGGTCTTTCTGACATTCTAGATATATATTAGTTGCAGCAACCACTGTAAGGACTCTGCTTCACTTGATTAAATGCTAGCTAAGGGACTCGCAGGTGTTTTACAACATGGGACTCAGAAGCTCTCTGCACAATCTCCTTCTGCAAGGTTGTAAATTCTACACTGTTGTCAGTACGGAGAGTCCTTGACTAGATCTAGCCACCATTCAATGGACCTTCCCCAGGCTACTTACAATCCAGATATGAAGTTCTGATGACTGCTCCCCAACCCCCCAACCTCCCCGCCTGCAGTCATATGATTGCATTTTGGGTGCAACCAACCCACATTTATGGCTGTTCTCAGCATCACATGAATATGATTTATGACTTTTTTTTTGCAGAAAACCAGTATTTATTTTCAATTTCCAGCACACAAAAAAAAAAAACCACCTCCTATCCATTATGAAAAATGGGTTCACCTAATGATTGCAGTATTCACTTTACAAGTATTGCATTTGTTTAATAACCATGCAAACAAGTTGTGAAGTTGG